GGGGGACAATGTTCTTACAAAACATTTGAGATAATTAAAGGTCAAAAAGGGACTATACAAATTTCAACAGAGACATTTTGAATTTCTTAACAATCTCAAATTTTATTTGCAGTTGAGTTTGTAAACATATATTACTGCACAGAACATCGTGCTTCTGTTCCCAGTGCAAGTGATGGCAAAACATGCTGTGTTTTCCTTATAAGAGAGATCAAAATCGGGAAAAGAGTGTAATAGACTATATATTTAAAAACAGAAAGCTAGAGATTTCAGCATACTCAGGGAAAGCCTGTGAGTGGTCCTGAGTGTCTACTCCTTTTCATTTTTATCAAAAGAGGAATGGGAAAATTACAAGTATTCTGGTATTTTTCAGTTTTTATGCAGACAAAACACTTCATCACACTCCACACAACCATGTTGTGTATGAACTGAACAAGCATTATTTTTACATCTGGAAAATTCTGACTTTTCAGGAAAAAGTTTTGGGGGAAAAAACGCTTTAGGCAAAAATGTTTGGATGCTAAATGAAAGTTATAATGTAGATTGGGAGCTTTGTGAAGATTTGGGTACCTGTGATTCCAAATTGAGTGCTTGGGCCAAGCTGCCTTGCAGGGTTTCAGCTTTCATGAAAGCTTATAACCCAGATTTCTCCTGGGCTCTTTCTGGTCCCAGCAGTGTGCTGGGAAATACCTTGTAGTCCTCTGTCTGCAGATCCTGGCCTACAGAGGACAGTGAAGGTAGGAGGCAACCCCACCACCACAGCTGTAAATTCACAACAACACTTATACATGGATATTTCCAGATTTTTTATTTTTATTTTTTGAATACCTGGTGTGTTGGTTTGGTGAGGCAAGAAGGAAATGACATAATGAAGAAAAATGTTGTGAAAATACTTACTTTGTAAAAACACTTGAAAAGATGTACTGTTTATCTGTTAAAGGGTAATATTCAGGTAAATTTTCATGAGCTCCATCCAGGTTTGCTTCAGTGTTTTTAGCATTTGGGAGTTGGTGTAGAATGGACAGAGAGAAATGGCACATCAGGCCAGTCTGAAGAGGACCATAGCATCTATAGAAAAAATTGGGTGGAGGCATGAGGACTGGACAGCTGTGGTCATCTCTGTTGATTCAGAAGCATCCTTGCACTCTTGAGTGTTGGGGAGAGCAGCCAGGCCCTGAGAGAGAGCTAGAGCTGGCAAGAAGAGGTTAGGCAGTGACCACTGTGACTTTTCTTTCTCTGGACCTGGGGCAGGAGGTTGAGGAGCTGGAGGTAAGCCACAGCAGAGCTGGGACCTTGAACTGCAAGGCTTGAAGCAAGAGAGCAGGAGTTAGAGGCTCACTGGGGAATGAAAATCCCTTGCCCCCGGGATAGCCCATCTGGTCTTAGATACAGGCAGGGATGATAGATAAAGAGGGAGAGAATGAAATTGCTGTTTTGTGTGTGTGTGTGTGTGTGTGTGTGTGTGAGGGGAAGAGAGAGAGAGAGAGAGAGAGGGAGAGAGAGGGAGAGAGAGGGAGGGAGGGAGGGAGGGAGAAATTAGGCAAATTAGATTTGGTTATCTAATTCATGGTGGAATGATGGATGAGGAGGAATTTTGTTTCTGTCTTCCATGTGGATCAGAGATGAGATTTTGGTAGGTTTTGCTGTGAATGGGCTGAAGGATACTGAGAGTCTGATTTACATGACAGCTGAACAGCAACAGGGTCCCTGGGTTTTTAAATACAACCAGGAATTGCAGGAGGAGAGATTTCATATGGCAGTATCTTAAATGCCACAATTATACTTTGCAACAAAACTAGGTAGAAGTAGGGGAAAAAAAACTGTTCAGGGCCAGAGGCAGGAGACAGGAGTACAAGAAGTGGGGGCAGTTGAGGGTATGAATACAGTTTAAGTGAAGATCTGTAGCATTTTGAGATTGCAGTAGCTGGATACTAGAAACTGAACAGCTGATCAGAGTATGTGGTACTTAGAGGTGTTTGTTTCTCATTAAGCAGAGGCTTGCTGACCTTTCTGCATATTTCATCAAAAAAGTATAAAATTTCCACTGCCAAAAGATCAACATGTGTCAGTCAGGCTCCCCAGAATTGATCCAATATTACTAGTTTTTAAATGAAAAAATATGGGTTTGGTCTTCCTTTTGATTATTTTTTTTTCAACTCATCCTACATTATATGTGTGTGTATGTTTTGTGGGGGACAGAAAAGAGAAAAAAGAAATAGGAAAAGTTATCCTGTTCCAACTATAAATGCTGTTGGTGCTTAAAAAGTTATCTTTAAAAAAGAGTCACAAAATAACCTGAAGTATCAACCACAATTCCCTTCCCTGGTCCAAATAACTACAGGTTTGAATTGATGCTTAGGGTTAAACATCAGAATTAATAAACTCCATTGGGATCTGTCAGCATTTCCAAACTTAGATGCTAAAATTAACTACTCAAACCTTCCAAAGCATGTAAAGACACCAGTTCCGTTGATGTCAACTGAATAAATGAAATCTAGGCTGCATTTTTCAAGCTGTTATAGAAAATGACAATATAGAAGGACTTTTCCAAACCCTCTTTAATATATGTGCATGTCTGTACAAACAATAAATTTCTTGAATTTTTATTCTATTGTTTGCCAACATGCTTTATTTAAGTATGGTGAGGAGAAATAGCACTTGTAGTATGTAGAATCCAGACAAGAAAGTGGATTTCTGTGTTTTTGTTTGTTTGTCTGTTTGTTTTTAAAGGAAGTGTTTAGACAGATATTCAAAATCTCAGTCAACTTCAGGCAATGGCAAGCCTAATCACTACAGCTCTGTCAGATGCTTAGCTAATACTTTAGAACATGAAATTTGGCTTGTTTCAAGTGTTAAGAAAACTCAAAAATGTTACAATAATGTGTTTTTATGTGCTCCTATTTTGAATGATTGTGGTGTGATGCACAGAAAACCTGCATAGAAACCAAGAATTTGATTTGTTTACTTGTGTGAATATCTGTCTTGACCATGTTCCCCTACCTTTGGAAATCAGATACTTCAAGCCAAACTTAGGCGCAGTCCTATAGCTTATACATATAAGCCTTTTCCTTTGGCATACTTCATCCCATTAATATTTTTATAAATATTTGAAAGTATATAACTAGTGGGTCCCCAACATGAAACCTGTATCTTAGCAGCGTTAGTTTGAAAAAGACCTTTTTATATCTGAGCAAAATTTTGTGGCTCATGTTCGTCTTTAATACAGGCATAAATATCGATTTCCCCCTTTTTTCATGTAAGATCTGCATTGTATCACACAACCTCGTTCATCCTGTTGAGGACCAAATAGGTCTTGTCTTGGAGACCACCCATGCCTGTTCTAGTCCCTGGTTCTGTGAAGACTTAAGCATGTGTGGAACTTTGCTTTCAAGAGTCATCCTTTGAAGTCTACTGGACTACTCCCATGAGCACAGTTACATGCATTTTAAGTATGTGCCAGATTTGGGCCTCGAATTATCTAGCAAGTGGCCTCTGTGAAGCAGCCTGAGGAATGGTATCCACCTGGAGTGTGTGTGCAGCCTTTGTGGAAGGCATAGTGAGTAAGTGCTTTTGGCTAATGCCAAACAGAAAGCTCACCAGATTACTTATTCAATAACATATAGAATTTAGTAATTTTACTAGTGAATTATGTGTCAAATCACTCCACTGAACAACAAAGATATTATGTTCTAATATAACCTTATAGCTTCATATTGTTTGAGAGTTATTAGTGTAAAACTTTATAATTTAAATAGAATTTTATAGATACTTTTCTTTCTGTGTAGAGAAGTGGAAAGGGTGGAATATTGTTGTGGACAATTATGCAGACCATAACAGAGCATTTGTGTTCAACAAACAGCTTTGAATTGTAATTTTCTGCAATATACATAGTATGGGTACAATTTGTAGTCATTACTGTGTATTAGGAAAGTTATTAAAATTCTTAAACTTGTTGAGGCTTTCCACAACACCTTCCCCAGATTTTAATTGGTTTTATCTAGTTCCATAAGAGAGCTCTTTAAAACAAATCAAAGTGCCTTAAATCACATCTTACCCATCGAAGGACAGAGATATTCCTCTATAATCTGGCAAGTTTTCCTGAGAAATGAAATCAGAAGGTTCTCAACAATGAATTAAAAGACTTGGCAGAAGATAATTTATGTGCTTTTTGATGGGCTCAGTTTCAAAATGACAAAAAAAACAATGTTTTGTAACAGAAGGGTTAAATCTTAATCTCAGAGGTTTACAAAGCTGCTAGTCGCAGTCTCCTTAAAATTTAATATACCTCGTTAATGCTTACTTGCAAACACTGAAGGATTTTTATGATTATAATCATGTGTTACAGCACCTAGTACTGTTTCTAAGCAGCATACTAATCAGCTTAATGAGATATTACTGCACTTTTTGTTGACTAAAGCAAAATCCCTTTTATTGTTCTAAAGCTTGTCCTTTACTTTATTTTTTCCCAAAACATTATCTTGTTTTATTGTACACCAGTAAATATCATACCATCGTTTTTTTGTCAAATCATAAAACTATCTTTCTCATTGTAGAATGTGTAATATATTGAATATGGTTAATGGAACTGAAAGTTACAAATGGATTTCTATTTTTTTTTCCTCTGTCTTTTCTAATGAAAATGGGAGAGATGCATAACATTTCTTTTTCTATAGATTTAGAAATGTAAACAGGTGCAATTTCATAAGAAGACAGACAAGGGGATGGTAAAAGCTTATGCCCCTTCTGTAATAATTAGATTTTGAAACTGTAGCATATTTTAAAATAGTAATTAATAGTTATTGGTAAACATACAGAGTGATGAAAGCACATATATGACCACAATTGCATAGCACAGTTGGCATTTAATACACTTTTTATTGTTTTTACACTAATTCCTTTGCATTATTATGAGTAGGTAAAACATAAAATCCAAATTGTATGTCAGTGATTCAATGCTTGTAACTCTTTCACAGTCTGAATCTAAAATATCTTCTGATTTTCAGAGATGGAGGAAGCTAGTTTGTGCCTTGGTGTTTCTTCAGCTGTGCCAGAAACTGACGCCCATCTCAACAGCACTATACTCAATGGGCAGTATTCAATGAGCCAGAAGCTACACCAGATCACTTCCCAGCTCAGCCATGCCTTCCCAGAACTCCAGAACAGGCAGAATCCAGAGGAGAAGGCATCTGCACCACTAGAAGACAAAAGCCACATGTCCATAGCAAACCAGCCCATCAGCAGTCAGATGGCACTGTTAGCAAATCAGCTCAACAGGGAGGTTGACACCAGTTTGAATGGGCGTGTGGACCTGCAGCAGTTCTTAAATGGACAAAACCTAGGAATTATGTCCCAGATGAGTGATATAGAGGATGATGCCAGGAAAAACAGAAAGTACCCATGTCCCCTCTGTGGGAAACGCTTTCGATTTAACAGCATCCTGTCACTACACATGCGCACTCATACAGGAGAAAAACCATTTAAATGTCCATACTGTGATCACAGAGCAGCTCAAAAAGGCAACCTGAAGATACACCTGCGTACTCACAAACTTGGAAATCTTGGCAAAGGTCGTGGAAGAGTCCGAGAGGAAAACAGACTTTTACATGAGCTGGAGGAGAGAGCGATTCTTCGGGACAAGCAGATGAAGAGCAGCCTCTTGCAGCCACGACCTGATGTGAAAGCACAGCAGAATACCCAGCCAATGCCTCTTGCAAACTGCAACTTGTCTGTGCCAGCTAATCACAGCACACCTGATATTTCAAACCCTGTTCCCTCTCCAAAGCCAGTCAGCGTCCAGGAAGAAGTTGTTGCTCAGACAGCTGGGTTCAGATGCACGTTTTGCAAAGGCAAGTTTAAAAAGCGAGAAGAGCTAGACAGGCACATAAGGATCTTGCACAAGCCTTACAAGTGCACCCTGTGTGACTTTGCTGCCTCGCAGGAGGAGGAACTGATCAGCCACGTGGAGAAGGCTCACATAACTGCAGAGTCAGCACAGGGCCAGGGCTCCAACGGGAATGGGGAGCAGTCCACCAATGAGTTTCGCTGTGAGGTGTGTGGCCAAGTGTTTAGCCAAGCCTGGTTTCTAAAAGGCCACATGAGGAAGCACAAGGATTCCTTTGAACACTGCTGTCAGATCTGCGGGAGGCGATTCAAAGAGCCTTGGTTTCTTAAAAATCACATGAAAGTCCACCTGAATAAGTTATCTGTCAAAAACAAATCTCCGAATGATCCCGAAGTACCTGTCTCCATCAGCAGTATGTCCCAGGAAGCTCATGCAAACTTGTATTCAAGATATCTGTCGTGTTTGCAGAGTGGTTTTCTTCCTCCTGACAAAACAAGCTTAAGTGAACAAAATCAAATCTATAACAAAGGAGATATGCCCATGAAAGAGAAAGAAGTCTTGGGAAAACTCCTTTCACCCATGTCTGGCATTGGCCACAGTATTGCTGAAGGGGATAAACATTCTTTATTGGGCTGTCTCAATCTGGTACCTCCTCTGAAATCCAGCTGTATAGAAAGGTTACAAGCTGCCGCCAAAGCAGCAGAAATGGATCCAGTAAACAGCTATCAGGCCTGGCAGCTTATGGCAAGGGGAATGGCCATGGAACATGGCTTTTTGTCTAAAGAGCAGCAGATACAGCGCAGCCATGAAGACACTTTGGCAAATGCTGGAGTTATGTTTGATAAGGAGAAGCGGGAGTATGTGTTAGTAGGAGCAGATGGCTCTAAGCAGAAAATGCCTGCTGATTTGGTTCACAGCACTAAAATGGGCAATCAGAGAGACTTGCCAAACAAACTAGACCCTTTAGAAGGCAGTAGAGATTTTTTGTCACATGGTATGAACCAGGGACTCGATTACAACTTACAAAGTCATGGAAATGTAAAAGAAAAGCCAACTGAATGCCCAGACTGTGGAAGGGTTTTTAGAACATACCACCAAGTGGTTGTGCACTCCAGAGTTCACAAAAGAGATAGGAAAGGAGAAGATGAAATAATTCAAGGTAGTCTTGATGAACGCCGTGGGTCTGGCAGCGATCAAGAATCTCAGTCTGTCAGCAGGTCAACAACACCAGGGTCCTCTAACATTACCGAAGAGAGCGGAGTAGGTGGGGGTCTCTCGCAGACGGGGAGTGCCCTAGAGGACAGTCCACATCCTTCCTCACCTTCTTCTTCAGGTATGATGACTTCTTCCCTCTCTACACTGAAAACGTAGTAGCTATATTTGAAATCACAGCAGCAAAGTCATTTATGCATTCTCTTGTTAGGTCATTTTCTAACAGTCCACAGAGACACGGTGTTATATGTCAGAACATCTGTGTTTGGGTTCCCTCAATGCCTTTGAGATTAATTCTCGGTTCATCCTTTTTCTCCTCAAAGGGCGGGTTTCCTAGGCTTTCAGCTGTTGCTTCAGCCATGCCACTGGCAGTAGTGTGCAGGGTCTGTACGTTCATCAATGAGAATGTCACTACGAGGGCCTCTCCCTCCAGGCTCCGGAAGTATTTTTTTCCTCCTCTTCTCTTCATGGTGTCTATTTTGCAGACCCTTCCTTTTCCTCTCTGAAAAGGGTGAGGAAAGATGCCTTCTTCTAGCTCTAGCTCAAAGAAATATGATTAATAAGCAGTGTGTTGGATAACCTCTTTGATTGCCCTTATTCCTACAACCATATCAGTTACTTAGCTGACATATGTACTTGAACCTGGCCACTGGATTGATTAAGAGGAAATTCAGATTGCTAACTTTTTGACAATCTTTTAACTTATGTGCACATTTTAACGTGTACGAAACCTTCTGGTTAATTCATATCTATTTGAAAATCCAAGAAAAATAGAAATTGGACTGAAACATTTTAATTGCACTGTATGTCATGTTAACTTGTTGTGTATAAAATAGCAAAGCAGATAATATTTCTTTGGAGATGTCTATAAAATATTGAGCTTCCTCGTACAATTTTTAAAGTTACTAGCCTATGACTGCTGAAATAAAATCTCCAAGTAATAACAGGTAAGATTTCTGGCCTCATCTATATTTCCAAAGTCACTTACTAATGGATAGTAAATTGAAAGTTATATCTTCAGCCCTTTATAAAGAAAGCACCTCACTAATACTGTAATCATTCTGCAAGCCTAACAACAGAGGAAATCATGCCATAACAAATACTCTGTTACTAATGGCAACATTGATTTCTGCAATCAGCCATTAAGTCTAGAAAATGAAAGACAGTTTGAGGTACCTTAAGGCATTACATTGCCCACTGTTAAAGAGCTGGTAGCAGGCTGTTGAGGGTAATTCTTTTTATTTTTTTCCCCATTTTCGATAAATATTTTAGTATTGAAGGCAATTCACTGTTACAGTTATTAAGTATATGCCAGTTTATTTTTGTTGTTCTTGTCATGCTCCAGTATACTCTACTTCTGAGGCCAAATTAATATAAAAATAAAGTGTTAGTTTGCTGGCTTATTACAAACCAGTAAAGAAATTGTTAAGACACATAAATCTGCACTCCACATTCCACAGATTCCTATAGTACTTAATGCCGTTGTTTAAATACCATGAAACACACTGTCTACTCTTAGAGTCATAGCCTCATTTACAATTTATTATTGGTGAGACACATTAGAAAATTCTGTGTAGGAACAAGGGAAACAGGCGAGAGCTAATTTCATACTATGTAGAGTTGTTCAGAATGTTTTAAAAGGGTTGAAAATGTGTCAGGATGAAGATTAGTTTTCTAACTTTCACTTTCAAAAATCCTAAACTTTGGAGGGGTTTGGGGGTGACTTTGGGGAAAACTTTGGGGGAGAAAAAATGTTCTTCTTCAGTATAGAAAACATCACTTTTATTTTGCAATGCCACAGACGGAAATAAAGAAAACACAAATCGGTTAAGTTCTGTCTGAAGCCTGGAAAAGTTTGCAAAGAAGACACATGAGTCCTGAGTGAGGGTGAACTGATACAGACTTAAGAGGATTCGGAACAACACATGTGAAAGTTGGTGTGTTTTGAGTACCCTGAAAAACTTTAGTTCCAAGAGTTCTGCTTCACTTAATGTATTGTTGTGGGAAGTTTTTCCTGTCCTCAGAGGCAAAAGATAACACCACAGTCTTGTTGTTTCTGTGGCCACTAATATAAAATTATTTCTGACTTAAACTACAATTTATTTAAAGCATTTATTTTCACTCATAATTCATTTAGACTGAAGCATATAAAAATGAAAGCAAAATATGTGCAGTAACAGTTGCTAGAAGCACGTTCATTTTTACTACAGAAAATCAGACTCATATTGTATTTTATATTAGTATCTGATGGTGTCCTTTAGTCTGTTAGCAGTAAATCTAGGACAGTTCTCAGTATCACACATCCTACCATAGAAAGTATGCACATCTTTATAACTTATTAATCAGATGAAAGGAAAATAGAATTGCATTTTACCTGAACAAAATATAAATATTCTTTAGTACTTTAAAATTAAAATTTATTGCAGTATTGCTATTGCAACTTTTTCATCATTATGAAGTGTGTGTTCTGTCAGTACCTGTGAAAGATAAACCTGCAGAATATAAAAGAATCAGATTTTTTGAGTAAGGGAGAATTAAGTAGTCATTGAATCTTCTATTAAGAAATTACCACAAAACACAGTTTTACAAATTTCTCAGACTGCATAACAATGTCTCAAAACTTAATTTGCATCACTTGATTCTTTTTTGCCGAAAACTGGGTCAGTAGGGCCTGAGAAACTATTTTTTCAGATCTTAACCAATGAATTCTTCTTTATAAATTGGTGCTCTTAACATGATAGTAGTTCTGAATTCATCATAAAAACCTTTTTACACAGTGCCTCTTAGAACAGATCTCCAGAAGAAGGCTTACAATGAGTGGCAGAGAAGTCTTTGTTATCTGATGTAATTCTCTGCAAAGGAGGATTGGGAATGGAGTGCCTGTTTAAAAATGTCTAGCTCAGGCTGAGAAGAAGAAAGGGTCAAGTTTGCAATCAAACAGTTATTGCA